TGGCGGGGCCCCGCAGCCGGGCCGGGTGGGCCAGCGCAGGGCCCCTCCGCCTGCCGCCGCCTCGCTCGGCGCCTATTTATCAGACGTGTGTATCTTATAGGAAGGTAATTTCAAATTTAACATGGTTAAAACGATTAAGGGGCCAGCAAGTGGCATGGTGGTTAAAGCAGTGGATTCCTGTGGTTTGAGTCTTGGCCTTGGCAGCTTGAAAGTCATGTTAGGTACATGTGTGTGCATGCCCAAAATCCCAGGAGGAGAAGGGAGGAGAGGGGAGTGTGGTGTGGCCCCCTCCCCAGGGTGATTTTTCACTTTGGTGAAAAATTCTGTCTGTCTCTCTCCAATGAGTGCGCATACCCTTTGGCAAAAAACTAACAAAAAGAAAGATTAAATGGATTTTGGAGGAAAGCAAAGTTTAATAACTACATTTCTTTCTTTTTTTTTTAAGAATTATTTTATTTAACTTTATTTATTATTATATCATTATTATTTTTCAGTTTGATCAGAGAGAGACAGAGAGAGAGAGGTAGTGAGAAAGCAAGCCACCAGGTCTGAGACTTGAACCGTGGTCGGCCATGTGGGAGTCCAGCGCCTTTAACCACCACGCCACTTGCTGTCCCCAATAACTACATTTCTTTAGGAATTGGATTAAGATGATATTGGTGTTTCATTTCTAGGTTCTGGCAAATGGTTATCTAAATACTTGAATTAAATGGTTAAAAGGTGGTTTTAGATTGTTGATATGGTTACATTATCTTTGATGTTTTTTCTTCATTATCTTTAGTAACCCATGATTATCTGTAAGAATAATTAATATTTACTCCTCAAGATATTATGTTAAATTCTATTTTATTTTAACTAATTGTATATATATTTAATTGGATATAAATTACTGTGCCTTTTATACATTATGCTGTCTTGCATAGTGCCCAGTTATAAATTTTTTTTAGTTATAAAATTAACTGCTATTAAGTTTTAAATTCAGTGTATGAATAAGTCCATAATTTTGCCATGTGTGTATCTCTATGGTCTAAAAGTTGTTTTTCTTTCTTTTTAAAAAAATAATTATTTTATTTAACTTTATTTACTTATCTTTTAAAAAAATTTATTTATTTAATTCCATTCGTTATTATTATTTTTTAATTTGACCAGAGAGAGACAGAGAGAGAAAGGGAAAGTGAGAAAGCAAGCCACCAGGACAAAGACTTGAACCATGGTCGGCCATGTGGGAATCCAGTGCCTCTAACCACCATGCCACCTGACAGCCCCTATTTACTTATTTTTAATTTGATCAGAGAGGGACAGAGTGAGTGAGAGAGAGAGGAGGGGAGAAAGCAAGCCACCAGGTCCAGGACTCAGACCATGGTTGGCCATGTGGGAGTGTCTAGCACCTTAACCACCACGCCACCTGGTGGCCCCCAACATGATTTTTGTTTATGGTACAGTTGATTTTGATTTTTCTTTTTTTAAGAATTATTTGTTTTATTTTATTAATTATTAGTATTATTATTTAATTTGCCATAGGACATGTGCACCCATAAGAGGGTGGTACACACACTTACACACACACACACACACAGAGGGAGAGGGAGAAGGAGAAGGAGAGAGAAAGCAAGCCCCTAAGTCTGGGAGTCCAGCTTGGCCAAGTGGGTGTCCAGAACTTTAACCACAATGCCACCAATTAGGCCCTGATTTTTATTTTTATTAAAATCAATCTTATGAAACTAGTGTTAACTGCTGACAGGTTGGTCCATATTCTTAGGTCATTCATTTGTTTTTTGAATAAGTTATACATTTTGATTGAATGGCTACCCTTTGCCAATTATTGTTATATAATAAATATTCTGTGATAAAAGTTGATACCTCGTCCAGAACTTGTGTGGTACAAATTAAAAACATGAAACTAAAAACAAACACAATAAACAAAACCAGACCAGCACGTGCATATAGGCACACCCCTAAATGATTTTAATTTTTACCTGAACAAATTGAAATCCTAGATGAAATAGTCTTTTTCAGATCTTTGGTAAATCAAAACTAATGGAAGAGGAGCTTATAGGCTGTCAAGTTCACAACTTCATTAATTGTTAAGTTTTAGCTAGTGTAGGGTATGTTGATTTACTCTTTATAGTGTAATGCTTTCATAAGTCAGTTTAAATTTATGTTTAAAATGGAGTAATGAGAAGGCTGGGAGATTGAAGAAGGGAGAGGAGAAGCTTAAAGGAAGAATGTTATTATGCATATGTATAGATAGATAAATATAAGATATCTTTCTTAGACTAAAGTGAAACCTTCAAATTCTTACCCCTTTTCCCTTCCCAACTTGCCTATTTCTTCCCGTAAGAGTTTCCTTTTTTGCTGGGTGTCACATTTAGCATTGAAGGGTTTAGCTTTATATGCTCTGTAAGCTAGATTAAAGCCATCCTTCTAAGACTGCTGCATTAGCATTTTTTCTCAACCTTTAGCTGCCATTTACCTGAAGAACATGGTGACACAGTACTGGCCGGACCGAGAACCTCCACCGGGAGAAGCAGTATTTCCATTCAACATTCATGAAAATGATCGTCAGCAAATACGTGATAACATTGTGGAAGGAATAATTCGGTCTCCCGATTTAGTGAGGTACGTTATGCTGTGTCCATATGATTACTAGGAAACGTGAGCTGTTTAAATATGGGTGTGGGGTCTGTTGGAGTGAAATGTCAATCTCACCTTTTTTTTTTAAGACATAAAGTAATGAAGATGTACATTCAAATAATATGTTACTTGTATTTGCATTAATAATTATTTGGCTCAAATATTGTTTAAAGATTTATTTATTTAATTTAATTTTTATTTATTTATTTTTTAAATTTTATTTTAACTAGAGAGATAGAAAGGGAAAGTGAGGAAACAGGCCACCAGATCTGGCACTCAAACCATGGTTGGCCATGTGGGAGTCCAGAGCACACCACCTGCCAGACCCTGCCTCAGATATTTTTGAAAATATTTATTGGGTTGTTGGAAAAGTTGACACATTTTTGCATAGAAGAACATGGAAAAATATCATGACTTTTCCGACAACCCAATAGTTGCCATAAGTTATCACAAAGAAGTGAGGTAAGAATCATAGTTTATCAAAGTGATTGTGTAAATACTCTGTGTTTCTAGTGGTGAGCTCTTGACTTTTTTTACATTCTTCTTTGGTTTGCTTTAGAGGGAGTTTTGATTGTGGGATTTAAAAGCAAAATTTCTTCATTTCTTCTGTGAGAGAGACAAAGAGTTAAGTTGGGTATACCCAACATTTTATAGTACTGGTAATTTTTTTCTTTCTTTCTTTTTTTTTTAAAGGTTTTTGCCATGGGATGTATGTGCTAGCTGGAGAAAGACAGAAAGTGAGAAATTACCCCTAAAAAGGGGTGCATGCACGTGTTTGAATTTCAGACCAGTGCGTCTTGATTCCCCCAACCTCAGTCAGCCAGTATCTCAGGCACATGTTCGATATATACAGGAACCCCCAGGAAGTGAACCTGTCACTTCCACATATGGCTTCAGCATCATGCGGAACACTGCATTCCTACTGCCCCACCATAGCTGGTCAATTTTGGGAATTTTATACTACCCCCCTTCTATTAAAAAAAAAAGAATGATTCAACTTTATTTATATATTTTATTTTAATTCGACCATAGAGGAACAATAAGAGAGAGACAGAGACAGAGAGAGAGAAAGTGAGAAAGCAAGCCACCAGGTCCGGGACTTGAACTATGGTCGGCCATGTGGGAGTCCAGTGCCCTCAACCACTACACCATCTGCTGGCTGCACTACCCCTTTTCTTAACCCATTGCATATATTTTTATTCATTTTTAATCAACTGAGTGTCTTTTTCTTTGGTGAAGACAGGATAGCGTAGATATAAACTTAGGGAAATTGTCGCCAGTTTCATAAAATACCATGCAGCACCATCCAGTAGAGCTTTCTGCAGTGAAGGGAATGTTCCATGTCCATTCTGTCCAGTAGTTAGCCTCTTAGTCTAGATGGCTGTCGAGCACTGGAAATGTGGCTAGGGTAACTGAGGCACTGTGAGTTTTTCTGTTTTTTAGAGGGAGTTTTGCTATAGGTCACATGTGCTCACTGAAGAGACAGAGAAAGAGAGACAGAAAGTGAGAAATTCCCCCCCAGGGGTGATGGCCATGCTGCAGTCTGTCTTCCATTTTTCTCTTGGCATTTTCAGCATGCATCATACATGCCCAGTGTAAGTTTTAAGCTTCTGGTTCTGGGACTCAAACCATGGTCAACTATGTCAGAGTCCAACAACGTAACCATTAGGCCATCTGCTGGTACCACTGTGTATTTAATTACATTTAACATTGGTTTGTATAAAGGGTGCATGTGTTACTAGTGACTGCCCTATTGAGCAGCATAACTGTAGAGTCATAAAAAGTTTGCAATCTTGGGGCTGGCAGGTGGCAGGGTGATTAAGGTGCTGGACTCCCTCATGGTTTGAGTCCTGGACCTGGTGGTTTACTTTCTCACTTTGCTGCTCTTTATTTCTCTTTTTTTTTTTTTTTTTTTTGAGAGAGAGATTTTTTGATATAGAGCATGTGCATTCATCAGAGAAACAGAGAGAAAGAGAGAAATAAAAAGTGAGAAATCACACCCCAGGGGGGATGGCCAGGCTGCAATGCCTTTTCCTCCATCTTAGGATTTTGGCCACGCACTCACAAATTTCCAGCATAAGTTTTAAGCAGCCGGGTCTGGGACTTGAACTGTGGTCGACTACATGGGAGTCCAGTGATGTAACTGCCATGCCATTTGTTGGTCTTTCCTCTCTGTCCTTTTTTTTTTTTTGGAGAGGTTTTTGATATAGGGCACGTGTACTCACCAGAAAGACAGAGACAAAAAGACAGAAAGCGAGAAATCACCACGCCGCAATCCCTTCTCCATTCTTCTCTCGGGATCTTGGGCACACACGCACCCGCACCTGGCGTCAATTTAAGCCACCAGGTCCGGGACTTGAACCACGGTCGACTACATGGGAGTCCAGCGACATAGCCATTATGCTAACTGCTGGTCCCCCCCTCACTGTCTTTTTCTCTGTGTGTGTGTGCCTCTCTGGTCAAATTAAAAAATAATAGAATAAAATTAATTTAAAATTTTTTTCAATCTTAAAAATAGGAAAAATGAGTTCTTTTCATCATACAAGTTAGCAGTTAGGAAGAAAATTGAGGGGCCAGCAGGTAAAGCAGAAGGAGGGGAATGAAGTTGTTTAATGCCAGTAGGTTAGATAGGACTAGCCCCGAGTGTCTAATGATTACGGCATAAGCAATGGAAAGGAAGTACAAGGGGAATGGTGACGGAAGAAGAGCAGACATTGAACTCTTTGTGCAACGATGTTGCTAGTTGAAAGGAGAAAATGGATGTATTTCCATTGGTTATCCCAGTGCCAGTTGTGGCACTGTTGTCCGTATGGTACCATCATGCATCCATTTCTTGTCAAAATCTTTGTTTCCCGATTTCCCCGTATCTCCCAGTAGTTCTACACATAGTACCGTAGTCTGTTCAGTCTGTACAGTGGACCGAATAAGGGCGTCTTTGGTGATAATGTATATTTAGGAAAAGTTTTTTCTTTATTCACGATAAGAGTGTGTGTGCACACGTGTGATTGGGGAGGGGGAAGAGGAGCACCCTCCCCAGGGTGTGGTCATACTGTGATCCCCTTCCTGTAGTCTCCCAGCCCAGTGGACCTGGGGTACTCATGCACATGCTCAGTGGATTTCAGGCTGACCAGGATGCGAATTTGACCTGCGATCATCTCTGTGATCCAGCTTCTCTCTCTCTCTCTCTCTCTCTTTTTTTTTTTTTTTTTTTAGAAATATTTCATCTTATTTATTGTTACTGTTATTTTTAAAAAAATTTTGCTACATGACACGTGTGCTCACCAGCGAGAGACAGAGAGAGAGAGAAAGAGAGAAGAGGAAAAGTGAATAAAAAAACTGCCAGGTACAGGACTCAAACTGCAGCCTGCTTTATGGGAGTTCAGTGCCTTCCTCACCATGCCACTTGCTGGCCCCAATCTGGCTCCTCTTGAGTAGTGCATTTCAAACTCTGTGTCATGGACCCAACCCATTTGGTGAAGAAAAATTTTCTTCTTTATTTTCTCTTCAATCCTAATTACAGTTAAGATCTCGTGAGGAAATAGTTACTAATCTACGAGTTGATCACTTTGTGGTTTTGTTAAAGGGATATTTTCTTTTTCTGTGTTATATCTTTTCTATTTATTTATTTTCATTTATTTTTTTTTTTGGAAATAGCTCTTAGCTTTCCTCTACAGGAATTTGTCCCGTCCCGGGGGGACAGCCGAACGGGTTTCTTGAGTGAAGGAGTGAGAGCCGGGGCAAGCAGCGTAGTGTTACAGCACGGAGACGACAGTGTCGTCTGTTTATTGTGGGCAGCACGGTACAGCACAGAGACGACGCAGTGTCACAGCTCTTAAGGGTCGCGTCGTCTACTGTGAGCAGCACGGAGAC